TTTGCCGGAACTATGTGTTCAACAGCTTGGCAGACTCACTCTATAGTGTGTTTTGTTCCAAGAGCTCAGCAAAAGAATTATGGAAATCTTTGGACAAAAAGTACAGGACTGAGGATGCCGAGGCAAAGAAATTTGTGGTTGGCCGTTTCCTTGTTTTTAAAATGGTAGATTCTAAAACTGTGGTAAGCCAAGTCCAGGAGTTCCAAGTGATCTTGCATGAAATTCATGCTGAGGGGATGCCTTTGAACGAGTCATTCCAAGTTGCTGTGATCATTGAGAAACTTCCCAATGGTTGGAAGAATTTCAAGAATTACTTGAAGCACAAGCGCAAGGAAATGTCTGTTGAAGAGCTGGTTGTCCGACTCCGGATTGAAGAGGATAATAGAAAGAAAGGAGGGAGTACCTCCTCAGTAAAGGCCAATGTCGTTGAGCATGGCAAATCTTCTGGGATAAAGAAGAAGCCCCCTGGGAACAAGAGCTCTAAGCTGGGGTCAAGGGGTGGTGTTGCAAAGAAGTCGGCTTACAAGCCGCAGGAACCTGGTTATCGGTTCTTTGGGAAGTGTTATAACTGTGGTAACGAGGGGCATCGGGCTAGTGACTGCCGCAAGCAGAAGAAGCCATACAAGACCAAACCTCGTGCTCATATGGCAGACTTATCCAAGCCTTCTCGCTACCTGTATCCTTTGATAACTAGCCTAGCTTTATACTTATCAATTGACACATCAACTTTCATCTTCCTTCTAAAGATCCACTTGCTCCCCAAGACCTTACTGTCTAGGGGTAGATCAACTAACTCTTAAGTATGGTTCTGTAAGATGGAGTCAATTCTGCTCCGAGCAGAAACTGTTTACAACTTTCGAACCGGTTACAAACGGTGAGAAGTTGTTTATGGGAAACTCTGCTACCTCGATTGTTAAGGGGAAAGGAAAGGTGGTCCTGACGTTGACGTCAGGAAAGAAGCTAACCTTGAACGAAGTCCTGTATGTTCCGGACATTCGTAAAAATCTTGTCTCAGGGTCTCTTCTTAGTAAACATGGTTTTCGCATGGTTTTTGAGTCCGACAAGGTCGTTCTTACCAAAAGCGGAATGTATGTGGGTAAGGGTTATATGTTGGGAGGTATGTTTAAACTCAATGTTATGACTGTTATCCCAAAGATGAATAAAGGTGCATCTTCTTCTGTTTACATGCTTGAGTCTTCCAATTTGTGGCATGGTAGACTAGGACATGTGAACTTTGAATCTTTACGTAGATTAATCAAGTTAGATCACATACGATCTTTTAAGATTAATCCGAAACACAAGTGTGAAACTTGTGTTGAAGCAAAGTTGACAAGATCTTCGTTTCATTCTATTGAAAGAAGTTCAGAACCGTTGGATTTAGTGCATAGTGATGTGCGTGACTTAAAATTTATATAATCACGTGGTGGCAATAAGTACTTCATCACTTTTATTGATGATTGCACTAAGTATTGTTATGTCTATTTGCTCAAAAGCAAAGATGAGGCGATTGACAAGTTTGTTCTTTATAAGAATGAAGTTGAGATCAAGTAGGCCACAAGATTAAGGCTCTAAGAAGTGATCATGGTGGTGAGTATGAATCTCCGTTTATTGAGACTTGTGCTCAATCTGGGATTATCCACCAAACCACAGCGCCTTATTCTCTTCAGTCTAATGGGATTGCTGAGCGGAAGAATAGAACGCTAAAGGAAATGATGAATGCAATGTTGATAAGTTCTGGATTGCCACAGAACTTGTGGGGGGAAGCAATTCTCTCTGCAAATTACATTCTGAATAAAGAACCCCGGAAGAAGGTGGACAAGACGCCATATGAGTTATGGAAAGGCGTGAAGCCTTCGTATAAATTCTTACGAATATGGGGGTGTCTTGCAAAAGTGGCGATTCCTACACCAAACGGATTAGGATAGGACCCGAAATCCGTGGATTGTATATTCATTGGTTATGCACAAAATAGTAGTGCATATC